ACTGAAGGAAAAATACAACCTAAGGAAGTTAGATACACCCATGAAAACACAGGCAATACATAGTCACAAAACAACAAATACTAAAGAAGGGAAACATATAACACTACCACCAAAAAATAACAGGAATTAACAACTGGTCATTAATATCCATTAATATCAGTGGTCTCAATTCACCTATAAAACGACATAGGCTAACAATGGATACCAAAGAAGATCCATCAATGTGCTACAAACAGAAACACACCTTAACTTCAAAAACAGACATGACCTCAGAATAAAAAGCTAGGAAAAGACTTTCCAATCAAATGGATTTAAGAAGCACGCTGGTGTAGCTATCCTAATATCTATTAAAATAGACTTCAATCTAAAATCTATTAAAGAGATTGAGAAGGACATTACATAGTTATCACAGGGAAAATCTGACATGATTTCTCAATTCTGAATATTTATGCCCAAACGCAATGACACCTACATTCATAAAAGAAATATTACTAAAGCTTTAATCAAACATCAAACCCCAGACACTAGTAGTGGCAGAATTCAACATCCTGCACTCACCAATGGACAGGTTGGCCAGACAGAAACTTAAGAGAGAAATAAGGGAACTAACAGACAAAGAAAATCTCAACAGTTACAACAAAACTGAAATAACCTCCTGTATCTTATCAGACCACCATGGCTTAAATTAGATTTCACCAACAACAAATTTACAGAAAGACTACAATCTCATTGAAGAAATAAAGAAAGAAATTAAGATTTCCTAGAATTCAATGAAAACATATGTACAACATAGACAAACTTATGAGACACTATGAAAGCAGTGGTAAGAAGAAAACTCATGGCACTAAATGGTCACATAAAGAAGTTGGAGAAATCTCACACTAGTGAATTAACAGCACAACTAAAAGCTCTAGAACAAGAAGAATGAAACTCACCTAGGAGAAACAGATGGCAGGATATAATCAAATAGAGAGCTGAAATCAATAAAATAGAAACAAAAAGAACAAGACAAAGAATCAATGAAACAAAGAGTTGCTTCTTTGAGAAAATAAGCAAGATAAACAAACCCTTATCCAAATAAGCAGAGAGAGAGCATCCAAATTAACAAAATCAGAAATGAAATGGGAGACATAACAATGGACAATAGAAAATCCAGAGAATCATCAGATAATACATCAAACACATATACTCCAAAAATTGGAAAATCTGAAAGAATTGGATAAATTTCTGAATAGGTACTCCATACCAAAGTAAAATCAAGATGAGATAAACTATTTCAATAGACCAAAACCCCTAAGATAAAAGAAATTGTCATTAAAAGACTCTGAAACAAAAAGCCCAGGACTAGATGGTTTCAGTGCAGAAATCACCAGATTTTCAAAGAAGAGCTAATACCAATACTCTTCCAAATATTCCATACAATAGAAATAGAAGGAACATAACCGAATTCTTTTTATGAGGCTACAGTTACTCTGATACTCAAACCACACAAAGATGCAACAAGGAAAGAGAATTACAGACCAATCTTCCTCATGAACATTGATGCAAAAATGCTCAATAAAATACTGGCTAACCGAATCCAGGAACACATCAAAAGAAATTATCCACCACAACCAAGTAGGCTTCATCCCAGGGATGCAAGGATGGTTCAACATACAAAAAATCTATCAATGTAATATACCATATAAACAAACTGAAAGAAATAAAAACACAAGATCATCCCATTAGTTGCTGAAAAATCCTTAGACAAAGTCCAAAACCCATTCATAATAAACATAATAAAGGTAATTTATAGCAAGCTGACAGCCAGCATCATATTAAATGGAGAGAAAATCAAAGAGATTCCACCAAAATCAGGAACAAGCCAAGGCTCTTCAGTCTCCCCATAATTATTCTACATAATACTTGAAGGTCAAACTAGAGCAATAAGACAACAAAGGGACATGACGTGTATACAAACTGGAAAAGAAAAAAGTCAAATTTTCACTATATTCTATGACATGATAGTATACTTAAAGAAAACATAAATTTGACGAGGGAACTCTTGCATGATGGAAGCCCGGAGACATCTCCCCCTATTTTGTTTTAAAAAGATGATTTCTGCCATTCCATTCAGATATGGTTGAGCTACTTACAGCAGATAAACTCCTTCAGTACAGTGGCAGGATAAAAGATTAACTCAAAAAAATCAGTAGCCCTTCTATATACAAATGATAAATGGGC